CTGAAGCAGGCTGAGGCTGAGGCTGAGGCAGGCTGAGGCTGAGGCTGAGGCAGGCTGATGCTGAGGCAGGCTGAGGCTGAGGCTGAGGCTGATGCAGGCTGAGGCTGAGGCAGGCTGAGGCTGAGGCCGAGGCTGAGGCAGACTGAGGCTGAGGCTGAAGCAGGCTGAGGCTGAGGCTGAGGCTGAGGCAGGCTGAGGCTGAGGCTGAGGCAGGCTGATGCTGAGCCAGGCTGAGGCTGAGGCTGAGGCTCATGCAGGCTGAGGCTGAGGCCGAGGCCGAGGCCGAGGCTGAAGGCAGACTGATGCTGAGGCTGAAGCAGGCTGAGGCTGAGGCTGAGGAGGCAGGCTGAGGCTGAGGCTGAGGCAGGCTGAGGCTGAGGCTGAGGCTGATGCAGGCTGAGGCTGAGGCTGAGGCCGAGGCTGAAGGCAGACTGAGGCTGAGGCTGAAGCAGGCTGAGGCTGAGGCTGCAGGCTGAGGCTGAGGCTGAGGCTGAGGCTGAGGCTGAGGCTGGCTGATGCTGAGGCTGAGGCTGAGGCTGAGGCAGGCTCAGGCTGAGGCAGGCTGAGGCTGAGGCCGAGGCTGCAGGCAGACTGAGGCTGATGCAGGAGCAGGCTGAGGCTGAGGCTGAGGCAGGCTGAAGCTGAGGCTGAGGCTGATGCTGAGGCAGGCTGAGGCTGAGGCTGAGGCTAATGCAGGCCACTGCGACTGTCATCGCGAATGCGACTACGACTGCGAGAACAGCAGAACTCTACAACTGGATTCTCATCTGAATCTTAAGGGGGATGCTTCCAGATATGCTCCTACACATCGCTGTTAGGTTGCTTTGCCGGGATAATCCTCGGCGAGGACCGTCGAGGAGCATCCTGGAGCATCTCGCGAAAAATACACGCACGGAACCGAACAAAGCACGGCGAATGCACGTCCGAGCGATGGCAGGGGATCTTCCGCACCAGACGGTGTCCAATTCTCTGGCCGGTTCTGTCGGGTTCTGCCGCGCAGACCTTGGCCTCGGCAGCCCACGGCGCTGCGGCGAGGTGTGCTCTGGCTGCCTTGGCAGCCCGGCGCGCACGCGCCTGCTCGGGGCTCTTGGCAACAGGGCTGGGCCTAAACGGTGTTTTTGGTGATTCCGTGGGCCGTGTTCGTTTCGACTTTGTTTTGCGGAAAATGCGGATTGAAGACAATACGAGGGAAAACGATGATTATCCAAGTGCGACCCTACCTAGGAGTTGGAGCCCCTAGGAAAACAGCATTAGTAGTAACAGTAAAGCTGAGCTAAAGCTAACTTACAGCTAAGCTGAATCTAAGGTACAGCTAAGCTAAAGCTAAAGCTAAAGCTAAAACTAATCTGAAGCTAAACTAAAGCTAAGCTAAAGCTAAGCTATCTCAGCTAAATCTAAGCTAGAGTTCAAGCTAAGCTAAAACTAAGATAAAGCAAAGCTAACGCTAAGCTAAAGCTAAGCTAAAGCTAAGCTAACGCTAAGGTGAAGCTAAGGTAATGCTAAGCTAAAGCTAAGCTACAGCTAAGCTGCAGCTAATGTAACCCTAAGCGAATACCAATCTAAAGCTAAGCTACAGCTAAGCTAGCGCTAAGCTAAATCTAATCTAAATCGAAGCTACAGCTAAGCTAAAGCTAAGCAACAGCTAAGCTAACGCTAAGCTAACGCTAAGCTAAAACTAAGCTAATCATAATCTAACGCTAAGCTAAAGCTAAGCTAATAACCCTTTTAGGCAGATCCTAGGTAGAGCATAAAAATTCTTTACGCTTCGCGTATCCCCACCAGCCCATCTCTCAACAGCAACTCTTGCGAAGCATGCCGACAGTCGTGTTTTTCAGGCGTGTTTCCGCCTGCCCCCGCATATCTCCCCCGTTACTCCTTCCTCCCGCCTCCTTGTACATCCTCCTTGTGGGGGGAGCGGGAGAAGGACGAGGCGGAGGAGGAGGGAGAGAAAGCGCGCCTCGTGGTTTGAGTCGTTTGGGTTTCTCGTCCTGGTGTGAGTCGTTCGGGCCCTTCTTCCTGGTGTGAGTCGTTCGGGCTCTTCGTGGTGTGAGTCGTTCGGGCTCTTCGTCCTGGTGTGAGTCGTTCGGGCTTCTCGTGGTGTGAGTTGTTCGGGCCCCTCGTCCTGGTGTGAGTCGTTCGGGCCCCTCCTCCTGGTGTGACTCGTTCGGGCTCCTCGCGGTGTGAGTCGTTCGGGGCCCTCGTCGTGGTGTGAGTCGTTCGGGCTCCTCGTGGTGGCTTGTATGAGCGCTGCCCCTCCTCCTGGTGTGACTCGTTCGGGCTCCTCGTGGTGTGAGTCGTTCGAGGCCCGCGTCGTGGTGTGAGTCGTTCGGGCTCCTCGTGGTGTGAGTCGTTCGGGCGCCTCGTCCTGGTGTAAGTCGTTCGGGAACCTCTTTGTGGTGTGAGTCGTTCGGGCTCTTCGTGGTGTGAGTCGTTCGGGCCCCTCGCCCTGGTGTGAGTCGTTCGGGCTCGTGGGGCCTCTTGGGGGCCTCTTGGAGCCTCTTGGGGCCTCTTGGGGGCCTCTTGGGGGCCTCTTGGGGGCCTCTTGGGGGCCTCTTGGGGCCTCAGGGGGCCTCTTGGGGGCCTCTTGGGGGCCTCTTGGGGCCTCAGGGGGCCTCTTGGGGGCCTCTTGGGGGCCTCTTGGGGGCCTCTTGGGGCCTCTTGGGGGCCTCCGGGGGGCCTCTTGGAGGCCTCTTGGGAGCCTCCTGGGGGCCTCTTGGGGCCATCTTGGGGCCTCTTGCGACCTCCTCAGAAGCGCAAAGGAGCGCTACCCCCTGAGAAGGACAACATGAGCCCCAAACCTTGTAAAATCAATGATTTTGCTATGAAGGAAAATGAGCGCGGCCCCCTCAGAAGGCCAAAATGGGGCCAAAACCTTAGTAAAATCAATGTTTTTTGCTTCAACGACGAGTAGAGACACCAAACTCCCCCCCCTCCCCCGGGGCCAGAATCCTCGTGAGGGTCATCGTTTTTTGGCCCTCCCAGGAGTCGAAAAAGGCCCCCCTTGACACCACTCGGAACTCCCTCTCCAGGTCCAGGGGAGGGGGTAGGGGGAGGGGTAAACCCCTCCCCGAAGGGGAAGAAGGGGGGTTGAGGACAGAGAGAGCTCGCTAAACCACTCACGCCCAAAGGGCTGGTGGGACTAGCAAAGCTAATCTAAGCTAAGCTTAGCTTAGCTAAGCTAAGCTGGGTGAACCCAAAGGGGCGCAACTGGGGGAACCGCGGGACGGGGATTGGGGGAACCGCCCAGGGCGGGCAACACTGCCAGGCACTTTTTAATATAGAAAGTGAGAACCCTTCTAGGCAGAGCCTAGGTAGGGAACAACACGAAAACGAAAAACACCGTTTAGGTTCAGCCCTGCTTGGCAATCCGAGCCCTGCCCTCGTCTGTCAAGTGCGCGGGCTGCGGAGGAGGGGTGGGTGGGCGGTGGGTGTCGAGCCTGGGGTTCCTGACAGTGGCTCGCCCAGGACAGATTGGGCATCAGAGTATTCCTGCTCCTCGTCGGCCAAAAGGCGGTCCTGGCGACCTGGGCGTGGCAGTGAGATCTGGGACCTTTCCACTCTGCTCCTGCTCTGTTGCGGCAGGCTCGGGCGGGTGAAGACGACTCATTTCGAGAACGGCCTGGGCCCGAGACTTGCGCGACACAACATCTGGGGCCCATTTCTGCCACTGCCCCTGATAAGGATCCCAGGAAACAGAGCAATCGTAAAGCACATCACGAATCCCGTGGTCCACCCCCCTATATCCATATCCTCAGGCAACGTTTCAACTCAATCTCCTTCACACATCGTCTGCACATACTCGATCAGGACATCTGCCAAGCACTTGCATAGTCGGTGGGGTTACGTTTTTTTTTTGGTGGTTATCCACTCCCTGCTCTTAGCCTGGCAATGTTTCATGACCTCTCCTTCCAAGTGAACACCTGCCTCTTCCATCTGTGTCCAACAGGCGACTGTGCAAGCCTGAGACACGCCACGCCGCGGTCCCAGTCGGGTGGAGGTACGAGGAGGGAGGAGGAGGAGGAGGAGGAGGAGGAGGTACAGTCGAAGTTGATTAGTAGGTCGACCCTGCCGGATCCTGGGTAGCCTTGTGTCCCGTGTTTCGCGACCCATTCCTTTTACCTTCCTATCGAACTTTGGTCCTCGGAAGTCAAGGGAGGAAAAGCCACCCAGACCCGACAACTGGCGTTTATTCAACGGCCCTGGGCGTTTCCTGAACAGCCCTGCCCTGTTCGATTCCCTCCTGTGGGTGCGTTTGCTGCACGGCCTCGCGTGCCGGGGTGATCCTTGTGGGGGTGGGTTTTCTGCCCCCCAGGAAGGGTCTTGTGCTCTGCAGCGGAGACGGCGAGAAAAAGGACCCTCGCGTGCCGGGGTTATCCTTGTGGGGGTGGATTTTCTGCCCCCCAGGAAGGGTCCTGTGCTCTGCGGCGGAGACGGCGAGGAAAAGGACCCCTGCGGGCTCGGGAGGGGCTCTTGGTGCTCGGGCCGCTCCTCGGAGCCAGGTCGAGGAAACTTCCGTCGCGGCCGAGGCTCGCCGAGACCAGCGCCGCCCCTTTTTCCTTCCCTTCCCTCCGTCCGTGCAGCGGGGGCCCGTGCCGGGGGAGCACCCCGCCTGCCTGCAGGGTGCCCCTGTGCTTCTCGGGCTTCGATGGCGTTGCTGTAGACCCTAGGCGATGCTTAAGAGAACTGAAGTTTTCGGCCAGAGTCTCGATCATTCTGAATGTCTCCATGTACATCCTAAGATTTCAATAGGAATTCTGGGTTTGTAATCAAATCTGAGACTATGAATTTCTTAATCCATGATTTCTTAAGCATTTCGCAGGGTGTAGAAAGCGTGACGTCCCCACACCGCAAAGTCCATGGACGCCCTGGGGTCTCAGGGTGTTGGGCTTCTCGTGGGAGGCCTCGTCGTGGTCGGGCCCCTGCTGCGTTCAGCGTTCCTGAGTGCATCGCGTGCCCTCCCCGATCGACCTCGTGTGCAGCCCGCCTGGCACGCCGCGGAGGCGCTGGAGGGCCTGGCTGGCCTGCTGGTGGACGTCCAGGCGGCCGGGGCCGCGTCGCGCGCACTGGCCCCCGAGGTTCGGAGCTCGTAGCTCGAGGTTTTCGGAGCGGAGCCGGCCATGGGGGGCTGACGTGGCCCAGCAGTGGTCCGGGCCAGCAGGAAGGCCCCCTCGTCGCCGCGGTTGGGCGCGGCTCGAGAGACTTGTCGGTTTCGACCGGGGATGGGCCAGCGGACAGACTTCGGGCAATTGTGTCCTCGTCAACACCCCGGTTGACAGATTTTCGTAGGTTTCTCCAGCTCAGATCCTCCGGCCGCCTCCAAGTTAGGGGTTTTCGGACGTTTGCGCCGGGACGATCGAAATGGGTACGGAAAGAATGGGTACAACGACCAGCAGCAGTTCTTGATCATTTGGACAGCACTCGCTGTCGGTGTTGCTGCGGCCTGTGTCCGCCTGCCCAACAGCGGCCGCTGTTGGTTCGGGACAACACTTGTTGTTGGGCATTGTGCCCATTTTTGTCCGTACCCATTTCGGGTGTCCAAGTTGCAGCTCACAAGGTTTTCGGATGAGCGGATCTGCCACGCGCAGAGGGGGTAGGAGGAGGGAGGAAGGCTTCTCAGACGGCGCGGGCCTTCTGTATAGATGTCAGGCCGGCGCGTTCTAAGAGGCAGCCTCCTTCTAAGAAGCCTTCCCCCCTCCCCCTGCCCCCTTGTGCGCGCCGCCAAGCGGCGGGTGCCTGGGACATCCTCCCAGACCTCCCGCGGCATCCCGGCAGTTTTCCCCTCCCCTCGGCCCCCGGGGGGGGCGGAGGGCGCCGCCGGGCCCCCCGGGAACCAAAATGACGGCGACGGAAGGGGTTGGGGAGCCCTGGCCCCGCGGATCGGCGAGCCCTGGCGTGCCAAGCTCGAGGTTTTCCGGCGCTCTCGCGGGCTCACGCAGGCTTCCCAGCTTTCGGCCTGCTTCCCCGGCAGCTGCGCCTCGCCGAGAGCGCTTCTTTGGGGCTGTCCAGACTTACCAGCCTGGAACCTATCCCTATCCCTATGCTGGGCATCTCCTCATCACCATGCCAATCTTAGGGGTTCCCTTATATTTTTCGAGGGCGCCTCCCTGAGATTGCCATCGCTTTTTGGCGTGTCAACCTTAGGGATAGGGATAAGTTCGAGGCTGGTAACAGACGGCCCCGAGCGGCCGCCGGGGCCCCGAGGCGTGGCCCGAGGACCGGCGCCCTCTCGCGCCGCGAAGAATCAGGAGGGAAAGAAACACACAGACAAATTAATTGTCGATTCCTCGAAAAATATAAGAAATTATGGGCAGTGGGGGGGAAGATAGAAACCCAGAAAATATTGGAAAGTATTGGGGATCCTTTTATTTGTGTATTTACTTGTGTGCCTCATGGGCCCCATCAAAGAAGACTGTGTAGCAGGGCGTTCGTGTGACGGACTGCGGCCGCCCGGGGCCCTCGCCCGGGCGGCTCCTCCGGGGAGCCGCGCCGCGCTAAGGCTCGAGACCTCGGATGTCCGGGCTCAGCATCGTGCATAGCTAGGGGGGCCAAAAGTGGCATGAACTTACAATTTCGGAGGCCCGCGCGGATTTCTCGGATCGGCGCTGGGGCCCCTGGCGGCGCCTCCGGCGCCGCCCCTGGCGCGCTCCGCGCGCCAGGGAGGGGGGCCTCAGCGCCGATCCGAGAAATCCGCGCGGACCTCCGAGTTTTTATGTTTATGCAATTTTTTGTTTCCCTAGATAAATCGAGGCCTCCTAGATGGGGTCCGAGTCGATGGGGTCGGAGGATCGCGCCGCATCGCCGATGTATCGACGATACGGCTCGATGTGGAGCCCGTGTTTCGCCACGCCGACGTCGTCGATGCATCGGCGACGTCGCCGATGCATCGCCGATGCATCGCCGATGCATCGCCGATGTATCGGCGATGCATTGGCGATGCGGCGCGATCCTTCGACCCCATCTACTCGGGCCCCATCTAGGAGGCCTCTAATAAAGCTCGAGACGTCGGATGTCTGGGCTGAGCATCGTGCATAGCCGAGCCCTATCCCCCATCCCCGTTCGCATCCAGAGCCCCGCTGTCTCAGCACCCCAGTTGGGGATGTGCCCCTCGAAACCGGAAGGGAGCAGCCTGTATCCCCATCCAGGGGACCGTCCCTCCCTCTGGCTGGCGTGCTGGTGGACGTCCAGGCCGGCCTCGAGAATGAACTACCAGCAGACACCTGCATTGTGGACGCTTCGCGTATCCCCACCAGCCCATGCAGAACCGACGCCCAGGCGAGTTCAGACGATCACAGAAGTGTAGGAGCAAAGAGGGGTACAGCTGTCGTCGTTCGAGCGAGGAGGATGATGATGGATGAGGGAGGAGAGACAAGTAGGACGAACTTGCGGATGATGATGATGATGATGATGATGATGATGATGATGATGATGATGATGATGATGATGATGATGATGATGATGATGATGATGATGATGATGATGATGATGATGATGATGATGGTGGTGGTGATGATGATGATGATGATGATGATGATGATGTTGATGATGATGATGCTGATGATGATGCTGATGATGATGCTGATGAAGATGATGCTGATGCTGATGCTGATGATGATGCTGATGCTGATGATGATGATGCTGATGCCGATGCTGCTGGTGCTGCTGATGATGATGCTGATGATGATGTCGGTGGTGGTGGTGGTGATGATGCTGCTGATGATGGTGGTGATGATGATGTTGATGATGGTGCTGCTGATGATGATGTTGATGATGCTGATGTTGATGATGCTGATGCTGATGATGCTGATGATGATGCAGATGATGATGCTGCTGCTGCTGATGATGCTGATGCTGATGATGATGATGATGATGATGATGATGATGATGATGATGATGAGGAGGAGGAGGAGGAGGAGGAGGAGGAGGAGGAGGGGGAGGGGGAGGAGGAGGAGGAGGAGGAGGAGGAGGAGGACGAGGAGGACCAGAATGGCCAGAGCCGTCTTGGATGCCTCTCGGCGTCTTTCTTACGCAGTAAGAGATTAACGTCGGCAGCGTGATGAGGATTGCGACGGAAAGAGCGGATACTGAGTATCTGAACCCCTCTGGGTGGTCATCGTAGAGCCATCCAGTAGGAACATCACGACACGAGTGTCCGAATAATAATAGTAGCGAGAACAGGCGGCCCGCCCAGAAGCGATGCCCATGCGAGTGGAGGTGATCATGGAAGTTCAGGAACAAAGAAGGGCAGCCGTCCTCGCTCTGAGAAGGAGGACCGATGAGGTGCGAAGGAGATCGGAGCAGGCAGAGGGGGGAGGATTGGAGGCGGCAAGACGAGCACAAGGGGGTTTGAGGCCTCTTTGGATGCCTCCGAGGCCAATTGCCCGTCTCACGGCGCTCTCAGTGCTCTCAGGAGCTTCTCTTCTAGGTAGGTCAGGGCGTTTGGGAGGTCTTTTGGCGGTCCCGGGAGGTTCTGAAGGACTCTTGGGGAGCTTGTTGGGGCCTCCTTGGGGGGCTTTTGGGAGCTTCTTTGAGGCCTCTTGGCAGCTTCTTGGAGGTCTCTTGGTTGGGGCCCTCTTGGGGTCATCTTGGTGCCATCATGCGGCCCTGAGAGGGGGTATGGTGGAGGGGTCAAGCTACCCACCCGCCCGCAAGCCGTCTAGCTCATTCCCACCCGCCCTCTTAGCACATAGGGAACACCCGAGCCTAAGCATGTTCAGCGGTCTTCTTTGGATGGGCAGCTACCGGGAACCAAAGCCGACCCCAGGTGCGTGACGCTTGGGCGAGATGCGCCACGCGTGCCAGGGGCGCCACGCGCGCCAGGCACCCTTGGGGCCCGAGCGTGCCAGGCACGCCTGGTGCGCCAGATGCGCCACGTGCTCCGAGTGCGCCAGGTGTGCCGCACACTCCAGCGGCGCCATTTGCGCCACGTTCGGGGCCCGTGCAGAGTGTGTAAGGTGCGTCTGCGCACGTGACAGCACACATCGGGAAACATGTCGGCCCCCGCCATCCTTGTCGAAAACCAGTGCCCATCATTGTGTCTGGTGGGCCTGTGCGCAGCAGGCCACGCGCCACCACCCCCGCCGTTCCTGTCAAAGACCATTTGCCGGTGATCGCGGGATGGCCGCGCATGATCCAGATTCAGCCGCGAGGTGCATGTTGTATTGTTGTGTGTCAGTGATGGAAGCCCTGCGCACAGCAGGGACTATGCTGACACCCGCACCGTCCCTATCAAACAACTACACAGTGTTCGCGGGCCTCACGAACACGACTCAAGACTTTGCCCCAAAGTGTACTTTGCACTGTTTTTCCGGTTGGCCGCCTCGGGTTGGCCGCGCATGCTTCAAATGTGGAGGCAGAGCGCGGCTTGCATTGCTTATTGAAGGGGATGGTGGGGGGCGGGCCCGCATGGAGTCGGCATGGTTCCGGGTTGTCCGCTGGCCTGGTGGGGGAGGGGGTGTATATTCATAATGATAAACCCGTCCCCGAAGGGGGACGACGGGAAGATAGCAGAAGAAACGCGCTAAACCTATCACGTCCAGAGGGCTGATGGGATTTCTTGAGGCCCGCGCGGATTTCTGGGATCGGCGCTGGGCTCCCCCTGGCGACGCCTCCGACATGTCAGGTTTCTGTGCTTGTTCTTCCTTTACGGCCAGGGCGCTTCGGGTGGTGCCGCGCTGTTCCTCAAAGGGGGAAAAGTTGGAAACTGGAACATATACATCACCGGTGGCGGGCTGTCTTCCAATCCCAGGACTTTGGGAGGGTCGGGGGCGACGTCGGGGTGGTGTGGTGAATGCATGTTCCCCCGTCTTTCCAGGGAACCAGTGAAGCATGTATACCCCAGGGCCCCGTACACACCAGGATCCGCTTTACCGTGCGCATTTCCGTGCGGGGCGGGAAAAAAGCGTCGCTGCATAGAGTTCGGTTCCTTACAACTGGGTGCCGATGCCGCTGCCCTTCCTTCGCCGCCACGGCCGGATCCGCCCCCGGCGACGCCTCCGACATGTCAGGCTGCTCTCGATTGTTCTTCCTCCATGGCCAGGGCGCGTCGGGGGGTGCCGCGCTGTTCCTCAAAAGGAGAAACAGGTGCCGATGCCGCTACAGTCAGGGCCCTGAAGAAGGAACCCTTCTGGTTGGGGAGGGGCTCCGCGTTCCTTGAGTGTTTCACAGCTTGCCTCAGGTTTTCCTTATGTTGTCGATAGGAGATCGAAATTTAACTTATGGAAAAAAAGGGGCCTCGTTCCTTATTTTGGGTTCCTTAGGTCAACGCCCCGACTGTACCCTTGCTTCGTCTCCAGGGCCAGATTCGCCCTGGCCGCAACGCCCTTCTGGAGAGAGAGAGCCTGGGGGGTGGCGGCCTCGGTGCCTTTTCGTCCCCCCAGCTCCCTGGGGAAGCCAAGAGGTGCCGATATACTCATTCGTCGTTGAAGATGGGTACTCTTTGGATTCTCCCAGATTCCGGTCTGCTTTGAGCGCCTTCCCACTTCACTGATCGAGCGGCTTCACCTGCGTCGTCCTCCCAGGGGGGCGGACGGAGCCCAATCTATTTTCAACGCCTTCCTGGCTCATGTTTCTACCTACTTCTTCCGACCCATGTGTATGCGGCCTCGCGAGTGCACCTAGGTGAGCGCGCGCCGTGCATCGCGGGGTGCCCTATCTCTGTGTGCTTACACGCCCCCCCCCCCTGCGGAAACTGACAGCCTCGAGGCGGGAGACAGCCATGACTGAAGGGTTTTCGGCACCCTGGGGGCCCTCAGCGACGGGGCCTCGGGACTGTCAAACAGTGACTCTCGTGAAGCGCCAGTTCCCAGGAAGGGGGTCCAGACCTCGGGGAGCCAGGCTTCCAAAGAGCACGGCGGCGGATGCCTGGAGCGGTCCCGCGAGGTCCCAAGGAGGCTTGCGGAGGCACCTGGAGGCCTCGCGAGGCTCCCAGAAAGTACAGTAAACTCACGGAACATGAGATCCTCGTCAATGCCGTTGTCGTCAGCGTGTTCGTCGTCGCCGTCGTCGTCAACGTGCTTGTCGTCGGCGTCGTTGTCGTCGGTGCGGCCGCCGTCGCCGCCGTCGTCAACGTATTCGTCGTCGTCGTCGCCGTCGTCAACGTATTCGTCGTCGTCGCTGTCGTCGTCGTCGTCGTCGTCGTCGTCGCCGTTTTGCAGGTGGGCGCCTTCTGCCCGTGCGGCACCGCGTGGATGGCCGCCATCTCCGCGAAGGCGGGTGCGCGCCCTGCGGCGGGCCGCCCCCTCTCGGCATCCTGGGAGGGGGGAGGCAGGGCAGGTCGAGAGTTATGTCGGGCGTGTCCCCCTACAGAGGAATTTTCGACGACAAGAACAAATACCCCAAACATACCCCAAAAAGGTAAACACATATTCAAAACATAGTCCCCCGACTATGTTTTGGTATATGTTTTGATTATTTTTGTATTCTATATTTTTCGTCGACGATCCCCCTGTAGGGGGACCAGGCCCGACTTAAGTCAAGAGGCTCGCGCGGAGCTCCCGAAGCTTGTGCTTCGGCAAGCTCCTCCGGGCACCGCCGCTCGTCCTGGGCCGCCCTCGCTCGAAGAGAAGAGCATCGCGGCATACGCACACGCGCTTGGCGCTCCGCTCGGCGCGGATCCAAGGAACCGGCGCGGAGCGCCAGCAGTTTTATGTTCATGGCGTTTTGTTGGGTGTGCGGTTCTTCTCAGAGCCCCGAATCATCAGGGGTAACTCGGGTCAGGGATAACTCGGGTTCCTTTTTCGGGAATCCGAACCCGAGTTACCCCGGACCCGAGTTACCCCGGATAACTCGGGCGCCCAAGAGCCCCGAATCATCAGGGGTAACTCGGGTCAGGGATAACTCGGGTTCCTTTTCGGGAATCCAAACCCGAGTTACCCCGGACCCGAGTTACCCCGGATAACTCGGGCGCCCAATCTTCTGGGGAAGTTTAAACATCCTTTGTTGCTGTTTTTTCTGTAGATGCCGCTGCTCGTCCTGGGCAGCCCTCGTCACCGCGGCCAGGTCCTCCTCGAGGTTCTGGTCAGGGTGCTCCCCCCTGAGAGAGGTCCAGGGAGGAGCGGCATTGTTGGGCTTCTCGGCGCGATCGAAAGGGGCACGAGAGTCGCGGGCGAAGTTTCTGCCCCCCCCCCCGACCTATTCGACGCACAAGTAAGCGGTTAAAAACAGGAGGGAAGCCTTGGGATACATTCCCAAGGGGCTATTCGGGCGCACCCCTATCGAGTATGGGTGCCCCCCACCCTTCGTACATCCCAGGGCTGGGCCCCAGATTTTGGTCCGTTCGAAAGCCCAACGAAGCCTGGCAGAACCTGGATCGTGAACGACCTGGTGAACCTGCAGAGAGTCATGGAGGCATCCGAAAAGGAGCTACTGACCGTCGAGAAGTTCGAGAAGAAGGAGGTCGAAAGGCTCCAGCGTCGTCAGGAAGTGCGCGGTAACACTGTCACCCCGCTCGACGGGACCGAGATTGTCGAGAAGTGCGCCGATTCAGGTGGAGCGGCTAGCTCCACCGGCCGCGCGTGAGAGCGCCCGCTCGCGCCTGCGGCTGCGCTGGCGAGGGCATCTCGGGGTGCAGGCCAGCGGCGCTTGCACCGACACAAGCGTCTTTTCCTGGAGCACCGACAGGTAGAAGTTCATATGGACACAACACCAGTGAGACGACGAGTGGAAAACGAGGGCCCCGCAGAGATCACACCATTAGAGAGTTCTCCCAAATGGCCCCTCCTTCCGTGAAGCGACATTGGGACGTGACCAGTATCGCAGATATGGAGACCTTTCACACGCCGTGACATAAATGGTTTTGCTCGCCCCTACTTGCGCGCCGACTGGAGGGGGTATTTCGGAGGTGCACTCTGATTAACCCCACGCCCACGATAATAATGTACCCCCCTTAAGTAGTTCGAGTTTTTTATCGTCGACCAGTAAGAGTTTGGTCGGGGGCGCGGGGGCGCGGAGGCCGAACTTCATTATCACGGGAAAAGTTCGCCATCGAGGTTCCTTCCTTCTTATGCTGAGATAACAACATCAAGCGAAGCGAACACGTTGTTTCCGGATGTCTCAAGCGAAACCGATGTCCTTCTGTCTCTTTGTAGTTCTTTATGTCTCTCTTTCTTTCTTTCTTTCTCTGTCTCTCTGTCTCTCTGTCTCTCTATCTCTTTCTCCTCCTCCTCCCTCTGGCGCCCTGAACTTGTTTATCGTTGGGGTTGATTATCCTGGGAAAACGAGGCGCGTGAGTTACCCTACACGAGTAGATGAACATTTTGATTTCCACCAAGCGTTTACAATTTAAATCTAATAGGTTTTCAACTTTGGATTTTTGCTATCTCCTTCTCCTCTCCCCCTCTTGCTCTTTCTCCTCCTCCTCCTCCTTCAAGGATGTCTCAAGCGAAATAAGCAATAACTTGAAGATGTCTCAAGCGAAACAGACAAATATTTCGAGGATGTCTCGAGCGAAACAAGCAATTCGTTGAGGATGTCTCAACCGAGACAATCCTGAAGATATCTTTGGCTTTTTCCTCTTGATCTCTCTCTTTTATGCTGGCTTTGGCGGGCAAGTTTTATTATCTCCCCGAAAACCTCGAACTTTACTATCCCGGGGGGGTTATTCTCCGAGGTTCATGGTTACTACAGGAATTTTGACGCAGTGTGCTGCAACGCAGGACTTGTGTCGGACACTACAATGCAAGGTTCGGCCATCAACCATCACGTCCAGGGGCCCTGTTCGAAACATGGGCGCGGCAGGATTTTGGTAGAATATTAACTCGCCCCCTGCGGAAGTTCGGTACGTATGGGGCCTCCTGCATTCTCTCCTTCCCCCTCTTCTCCCCTGTGTTGTTGAGTGAGGTCGCGTCGTCTTCCTCCCCCTGCATCTGCTCGCCCAGCGCGTTCCCCATGGAATCGGCGCGCGAGAGGGCTAACAGCCGTTCCCCCCGCGCTGACCCGTCGGGATTCGCACTCACAAGGTATCGGACCGCTCTTACGGGGCCTCCTCGGAGCTCGCCCCTTGGAACATCAGGGTGCGCCCCCTGCCGGCCCCCTTGAGAAGTCTGGGTCTGCGGCATATCACTTCCGCAAGGGATTTTGCAAGTCATGCCCCGCAGCTCCTTTGCGGTCGTTTCGGCGTTGGCCTCCTCATGCGGATGTCCTGTCCTGTCTTGTCCTCCTCCTCGTCGGGTCGCCGACGGCCCCGGTGGAAACCGTGTAGGTCAGTGCAAACAAGATCAGCCGGAGCGCCAGGGTCGCACTGACCTTGGCTTGTGCGCAGGATCATGCTATGCCTGACTGACCCAGGTCTGTATTGACCCGGGTCAGGAGATGCCCGGCCGTCGGTTTTTTCCAGAAAAGGGCGAGTGGAAAGTCGCGGGTGGTTGGCGTTCTGGGCGGGCCAGGCCGATGCCACATGCCGTTTTCCCGTTCCAGCCAAAAACGTCTATGGACACACAGGGTGCCGTGGCGAATATAGGGTTTCGCACTATGTTGTGAACAGGAAACAATGTTGTTCCGCGCAGATTTCTCGGATCTGCGTTGGGCATCACCAGGAGTCATTTCGAACACCCAGAAAAGTACCGAAACCCTCCGACACGCTGGCGAAGTTTCGAACGGGCATCGCCTCCCAGGGCCCGACACGTGAAGACCTTGCAGTTTCGATATTTTGTTGGTGCTCGAAGTTCTTCCCCGGAGAATCAAAGCTAAAATAGGATGGAACATCATAAGCCTCGCCGCCGCGGCTGGACGCGGCTCAGGAAATTTGTCAGTTTCGATCCTGGCAGGGGACCCGGGACCGAGCATCGGGGCTCACTGTTCGAGGATGCAACCAAGATAGTCCAGGCCCCCCAAACTCGTCGGTCCGCCCGACGATTTCGCCATGGACCGAAGAATCGAGCAGGGGATCCACTACATAATTGATTTGCCCAGAATTGCTGCGTTCAATACGTCTAGTGTTCGTGCACGTACAGATTTCTACATCTTTGTTGTATATCGGCTAAACAATAATGTTGGGTTGTCGACGATCTTTGTTGTAGACGATCCCCGTTTCGAATAAGAAACCACACCAGCATGAACAGGTCGGAAGTCCGCGCGGATTTGTTGCATCGGCAGCGGGCTCCGCCGGCGGTGCTTCCGGCGCAGGAAACGCGGTCCCGCGCAGATGCAAGAAATCCGCGCGGACCTCCGACAGTCTTTTTTTATTCGTACGTGCATGTCCCTCTACGGGAGGAACATTCGAAACAGGGTAAAAAATAGTCGGTGGATATTTTTGAAGATATTTGAATATTCTGGACTATTTTGATGTATCGTCCACAGTCCGCCTGTAGGAGGACATGCCCGACCTAAGTCTGTTCTTCTGTTTGTTCCACAGAAGCAAGGCGGTGAATCCCCAAAGCCCGAGAGCCAGGACAGACTCGTCAAGTCTGCAACGGTGCCGGGCTCGCCCAGAGCTGCCGCCGGGGACCCTCGTCGGGCCCCGAAATCCAGACGACGAGGATCATTCGATCCGGGCACAAAAGGGAGATTGGACATCGGGGCTCAAGAGACGGGGGCCAGTGCAAACGGGGGTCAGTCAGAGCGCCGCATCTTGCAGGGTCCTGCAGGGCCAGGGGTGCACTGATCGGTTTTGGGTGCAGGATCCTGCAGAGCAGGGTGCGGAGGAGGAGGAGGAGGAGGAGGAGGAGGAGGATCGAGAAGGAGGAAGAGGGGGGAGGCGGAATCACCCGTCGCCTTTTTGATCGCCAGATGTACGTCTTTTGAGCAGCTCCCGGCGTGCCTCTTGCAGGTAGTGCGGAGCCGCCGCGTGGACGGCTCCCCAGGGGAAGGAGGCAGGGATGCGACACGTTCAAGGGTGGTGGCTCTGTTTTTGCAGCCATGCACTTGTCCGAAAAACATGCCATTGCATACACATACGTACTTGGTTTCGGAGCTCCGATCTTGTATCCGTATTGCAGCTTTTGTTTTCTAGATGCTGAATGTTTGGCGCAACCATACGACGGAGATGAGGACCGTGACTTCAAGACATTGCCCGTGCACGTCGATAGGCAAGACATACAGGCAAGGCGCTGCAATGAGGAGCAGCTCGGATTCGGAAGGGGCTCGCTGCTCCCATCCCATCCTTCACGGTTTCTTCTTTCAGCGCTCCTCGCGCACCCAGGCGCTCCTGGGGCAAAAGAGGAGCTCTGTTGCGCAGCTGGCATTCCGTGTGGTGCTAGTGGCAGCTGGACTGTACACGTTAATAGTGGCCCTTCGCTGGAGCGACCCTTCGTGCGCAGCCTTCCAGTGGCGCGCGGGGGCCAAGCCACAGCCGCCACTCCTGCACCGCACGCAGCGATCGTCACGCCGCGCGCCAAGGGCCACTCTTGCCCACGGTGCCTGTTGCGTGTGGCCGCTCTGCACGGCTCCCTGGCCTGGCGACGTCCACCAGGCCCTCCCGTGCGGGCAGAAGCGCGCTGCTGCAGGAGGGGAGGGGAGCCGAGCAGCCGCACGGTCTGGAGGAGGAGCAGGAGGACGGAGATCGCCCGGAGGCGTTCGAGTCGGTCGTGCTGGCCTCGTCGGCGGACTTCGAGCAGGAGGTGGCGCTGGCCCTGGCGGCCGAGATGTTCATCAGCCGGCTCCGGTGGGCCATCAAGGTGCCCGCCGGGGATCCCCACGACCCGAAGGACTCCCGTGGGATGTGCCCGCAGGCTTTCTCCGGATCTGCGACGTCTTGATTGTGTCAAGACGTGGTGCCCCCAGGGGTTTGGACCCCCTTCTGAGGACCAGCTTTTCTTCCTGAGTGGTTTCTTCACGGTCCGGGGGCCCGGCGAGGGCCCCGGGAGGAGAACAGTTCTCAAACATTTGCCGTCGCGATTTTTCCTAGCCATCTTGTGTTGCTGGGTTTTGATTGTGAATCAGCAGCCCCCCACGTCCCTCACTCCTCCTCTTCCTCCCTCCTCCCATTCCTGCTTCTGCCTTCGGCGTGTCCATTTCGGCACACTCCTCACACGTGTGGTTGCCCCATATAAGGAGTTCCACCGAAGGCCCCAGCCCCAGGGCCCGCATGGCGGCCCCAAACACGTTTCGGCACACCACTTACAAGTTTCGTGGCTCCACCGGGAGCTCTACCGAAGGCTCCAGTCGCAGAGTCGCGTGGCGGCCCCACACCCATGACGGCACACCACTCACACGTTTCGCGGCCCTATAGGGGCCCCCTTTGAAGACCCTAGCGCCAGGGTTCGCATGGCGGCCCCGTACCAATTTCGACACAAATCACGCGTTTTGTGGCCCCATGGGAAGCTCACCGAAGGTCCTAGCGGCAGCGTCCGCATGGCGTCCCCGTTCCCATTTCGGTACACCCCTCACGCGTTTCGTGACCCCGTGGGGAGCTCCACCGAAGACCCCAGCGGCAGGGTCGGCATGGCGGCCCCGCACCCATGTCGGCACACCGCTCACACGTTTCGTGAACCCGTGGGGAGCTCCACCGAAGACCCCAGCGGCAGGGTCCGCATAGCGGCCCCACACCACTTTCGGCGCACCCCCCCCACGCGTGGCGCTATAAGGACCTTTCCTGGACTCTTCGCGTAATCCAACCAGTTCCGTAGCCCCCCCTGGCCCAAGCCGTCTGGTGGGCCTGTCCCCTCTGGGGCAGTCTCCCACCGCTCGAGGGGGCGCCCGTACGCTGCGCCGAGGTCCGCGCCGCGCCCGGCCTGCCGCGTTGGCCTCCGCTGCCGCCGCCCATTGGCGGGCCGCCTGCCCGGGCCCGCGCCCGGCTGCTGCTGCTGCCGCCGCCGCCGCCGCCGCTCCCCCTCCGGGGGCTGGCGCGCGCGCGCGGCGGCGGGCGGCGGTGGCGCCGCTGACCCTGCTGCCGCCGCCCGCGGCGGGCCGCCTGGCTGGCCGCCCTGGCCGCTGCTGCTGCCGCCGCCGCCGCCACCTCCCCCCTGGAGGCGGGCGTGCGCGCGGCGGCGGGCGGCGGTGGCGCCGCGGGCCTGGCTGCCGCTCCCCGCGGCGGGCCGCCCGGCCTGGCCCCGCCCGCCCCCGGCTGTTGCTGCTGCTGCCGCCGCCGCCGCCCCCCCCCCGGGGGGCTGGCGCGCGCGCGGCGGCGGGCGGCGGTGGCGCCGCAGGCCTGGCTGCCGCCCGCGCGCGGGCCGCCTGGCCTGCCGCCCTGGCCGTTGCTGCTGCCGCCGCCGCCGCCGCCTCCCGCCTGGAGGCTGGCGTGCGCGCGGCGGCGGGCGGCGGTGGCGCCGCGGCGGCGGCGCCCGCGGCGGCGGCGGCAGCCGGGGCGGCCGCGCAGCGGCTGCGGCAGCAGTTGCAGCTGCACCTGCACCTGCAGCAGCAGCAGCAGCAGCAGCAGCAGCAGCAGCAGCAGCAGCGGAGCGGCTCAGCGGCGGCAGCAACGACGACAGCCGCAGCAGCAGCCGCTGCAACGGCAGCAGCAGCGGCAGCGGCAACTTCAGCTGCACAGCAGCAGCCCCTGCAGCAGCAGCAGCCGCAGCAGCGCCAGCGGCAACAGCATCAGCAGAAGCAGCTTTAGGAGCAGCATACAGACTCATGCGGCGACTAGCTGCGACCCCCGAGGACCAACCACCCCGTCTGTCTGGTCACCCTGCAGGTTCACATCTGCGTCGGATTGATGCGACCCTGGAGGACCAGCAGTCGGAGACACCCACCATCAAATCGTGGTCCTAGCGGCGATCGGCTGCGACCCCCGCTGCAATGGAAGAGAGTTGGCGGACCAACAAACGGAGACACCAACCCTCAAATAGAGATCATTGCGGCTATCTGCTGCGACCCCCTTTGCCGGGACCATGGGCCCGGAGCCTCCCTCGGGGACTCGAGGTACTCTTGCATCGCGGTTCTGGAGCCAAGAGCCGGCCCTCGCCTCCCCCCCCGTGCGCGCTTCGTCTTCGCGGTGCCCACTGTCATCAGTTGCAGCGCTGAGAACAGGTGCGTGTAGGGTGGACACTGACAGCAGCTCTGTCCCGCCCAGCAAAAGGAGGCTGGTGGCCTTGGTGCCCAACGTGATTTGTGACTGCAGTGGGACCCGAGTGTGCGTCCCGCGGGTTCTCAAGGGGCTCTTGCATCTCAGTGCTGTCCTCCGTGGGGTGTCTGCCGTTCGGGCTCGGGGCTGCCCTCTGGGGTTTAGGGTGCTCTTGCATCCCGGTGCTGTCGGTGCAGCGGAGGCGGAGTTACCTTTCAATATACTGAGATCCGCATGCTCCGGCGCTATTGCCGGGATGTGGGGAGCTAAGTTGGACCCCGCTGTCTTCAGTTGCAGCGCCGGGATCAGGCGCGAGAAAGGTGGACACTGACAGCAGGCCCTGTCGCTGCCCGGCAAAATCAGCAGGCTGCATCGGGGCCCTACGTGACCTGTTACAGCAGTGGGATCTGAGTGTGCGTGAAGTGCGGTCAATGGCAGCAGGCTCTGTCCTAGCTCGGCGGGTGCGCCACCTATCCCACGAGCGCGGGGGCCTGACCGAGGGGGGGCGCGGCTTTCCCCCCGCCTCTCCTTCGGGGCCCTGCGGGTGTCGCAACGCATGTGACGGTGGCTGGAAGTGGCAGTGTACACTGCTCTTGCACTGGGGTCGGCGGCATGCCTCTGCGGCCTTGCCTGGGCACCTTTCCGTCAATAACGGTTCAAGCGGCGATTAGCTGCGACCCCCGAGGACCAACCACCCCCGCTGTTTTGTCACTCCTCCGTTCCACATCAGCTGCGGTTTGCTGCGTCCCTCCAGGACCAACAGTCGGACACACCCACCATCAAATAGTGATCAGCGGCGATGGGCTGCGACCCCCGAGTAAATGAAAGGGACCAACAATCGGACACACCAACCAACAAATAGAGATCATAGCGGCGATTAGCTGCGACCCCCGAGGTGATTCAAGAGAAAAACTCAGCGGCGATTAGTTGCGACCCCCGAGAACGACCCAAGAGATGACCATGGCCCCTAACCCTCGGATTCGGGGCCAGGCCGAGGGGAGAGGCGGTGCTTCCCCTCGCCTCTCCCCTCTCGGGCCTGGCGGGTGTCCCCCGCCCTTGGCCTCGGCGCCTGCCAGACGTACTGTCCGACGTCGGTGTGGTTGCCCCCCTCCCAGGGCCGCCCGTGTTCCGCGCTGCTCGTGGTCTGGCTCATCGCTCTCAGCGTCGTTAGCTTCGGCCCTGGGGGACCACGTGGTGTGCGTAGGCTCACGGGACTGGGGGGCAGTCCCTAGCGGCGGACTGGGCCAGGCTTGCCTCCTGGCCCCCGTGTCCTCCACAGTGCAGCTTTCTGGCGCTTCGACCTATGACACCGCAGAAGGCAGCACTACCCCAGTGCAGCCCCCCCCTCTCCCCCCGCTGGCGATGCTCACCGCGCCAGCTGGTCCTCCCCCCCTTCACTGAGGCCTGACGCCGTGCCGGCACGCGCTGCGTGGCCCACAGTCGCTTGGGTCCCCCATGCCCTGTGGGGTGGTCTTTCGGGTGTTGGTGTCGCCATGGAGTGGTTCAGCCTTCCGCAGCTGGTGCAGCACCCCAGGCTCATCCACCAGCTTCCGGAAAGTGCGTTGCACCACGTTCCGCGACAGCCCTGCCCTCCCTGGCTTGCAGACGTCGCAGTGGGCGTTTGGAATCTGGCGCCCCACAGGCGACTCACTCCACCGGCCTCCCTCTTGCCCCCACTCAGATTGACGGACTTGGTCATCCTGGTTCACGTCTCACGACGGGCTTGGTTCCTCGGTTCACGTCGCAGACTGTGGCAGGCACCGAATTCTAATGCATTTTGTCGGTGCGCGTGCAAGAGCTCCAGGATCAGGTCACCTGCAGCGTCTGCTTCTCTTCAGCTTCGCGGCTGCTTGTGAGCGGGCCGGCCGGCCTGTGCCTGTTGTAGCTGATTCGCCCCGTACCGTGACCCGGACGCCGCCTCCGCCCCCTGTCCGTTGCCTTGGAGCCGCTGACCCAAAAAGTAATCCCACCAGCATATCCAGACACGATGCCCAGACGAATTGCCCTGATCAAGGATGTGGAGGAGCATGCAGTGGAAGGATGTGTCGGGTAAGACGTCCTACCCCAAAAGGGGGATGATGGAGGACGAATCGGAGGAGCAGGAGAAGGAGGAGGAGGCGGAGGAGGAGGAGGAGGAGGAGGGAGAGGGAAAGGGGGAGTAAGAGGAGGAAGGGGGAGGAAAAGGAGGAGGAGGATGAGGCGGGCGAGCAGAAAGGCCAAACGCCTCTTGGATGCATCTCGGGGTATCTTCGGTCTTGGAGGTCTCTTGGCAGTCCCGTGGGCCTCTTGGGGCGTCTTAGGTGCCTCTGGGGAGCATCTTGGGGCCTCGTGAGGGTCCCCTGTGGACCTTTCTTGGGCATCTTGGGGGCCTACCGGGTGCCTTTTGGAGCCTCCTGCGCACCTTTCGGGGCCGTCTGGGGGCACCTTTGGGAGCCTCGAGGGCCGTTTGGGGGCCACTTTTAACGAGATCGATCTAAAGAGGGGCCGTAGTACATTGGGGTTCCCCCCCAGCAGATGAATGGTGAATGGCCAGACGTCTCGCCGAAACCCCAGGGCAGGTGAGGGGGAGGCTGCAGAAACCGCTGGTCAGCCTCACGCAGCACCAGGCCGCGAAACACGGCCAGTAGTAGGTATGCGTACGCTGTGGGCGCCGAGCGGCTACGGCAAGGATGAGGAGGAAACTCTGGGAGTCGGAGTGCGTGG